GTATATTTGACATCTTGAAAGTTTATATTTTGATAGTTACTGTAGGCATTATTATTTATTCTCTCTAAATATCATGTTTTATTCATATATAACAAAAGCATCAATTATGGTTTTTCCTGTAACTGTCTACTGATTGATACTACATACTGTAACAACTTAACATAGCTTTCTTTATCTAAAGGTTTTCATTATTTTGCCGATGAAAACCAAAATCTTATTTAATGGAATGTCCTTTTTGCAGGCTTGTGTGCTGATAAATACCTAGCAGATTGTGTGTGTGTTTTGCCATGTCAAATGGAATTGCTTGAGGTAGGCGCATTAATACTGAAACGTTCTTCAGTCACTGCTTTAGGTTAGGTATTCTAGTTACTGAGTTCGAGAAGGAATTTGGAACACAACTCAGCAGGCACCAGTTAATTAAATTTTACTTGTCTGAACTGCTTTTTGTTGTTGTTCTTGGCTGCCAAAGAATGAGTTTTCTTCCATATGTATCATTAGTTGTTTCCCAGTCCCTTGGCTTATCTGCATATTTAATACATTTCTGTAATTGTCTCAGTTGCACTGGTAGAGGCTACTACATTTTGACTGTGCAGCTGCAGTTCTGTTGGAGTCAGAGTAAATGTCTTATACTGAGGTTCTAATTTTTAGCGTCACAGGCTGCCTTGGCACCCTCAGAGTGTGAACATTCACCCCACGTTCCTGCCAGACGAGGAGGGCAATTGTGAGTGCTGGAAGGCAGCCACAAATCTGGAATCAGGAGCTGTGTCCCTTTTGTCCACACTCCTTGGCTCTGTTTTGCCAAAAACTACCAGTGTAGCCTATGCTGTGCTAAATTTTAATAAATGTGAAGACCAAATAATCTGAAAAAGATTCCGAATTATTCCGAATAATAAGGCTTGCATATTCACTTTTTTTTTCAGAACAGAAAGCTTTGATAAGGGTTGAGTTCAGAGACCAAAATGGAAGTGCCAAGCACAGTGAAAGTTTGAATGAGGAATGGCCTTTGTCTTCGTCAGCTTAGCAAGTGAATCCTGCATCAACTTCTGATGGGCAGCTTGTGTAATGAGTAAATCAGTCATGATGCGGTAGCTTGCATGATAGAAATCTGTGGGTCTTTGCAAGCTTCTGGAAGTTCCAGCTTCACCCCAGGCCATGTCAACTTACACCCTCAATTAGAAGTTGCCCCTGCCAGAATTTTTATAATCTCAGTCTTTATTTAGACAAGCTTTTCCCTGATTCTTAAAAGGACAAATGTCGTCTTTCGACTTACTGTCCGTGAGAACAAAATAAAAGAGCGGCCGCTGTTCCTGCGTTCGCAGAGTCACTTTGCGGTGTTGCCTCGGCTGTAATGCTGGTAACAACAATGTTGTTCCCTGGCGGTGTTGCGTGATAAGTGCAGCACATCACTTGTAAGCAAAATGAAGCTTGTGTGTTCCCCACTCTAACCACAGATAAAAAATAGTCCTGATAGAATAGAGCACAAGATCGTTTCTGTCTTATGTTTTCCAAACAAAGAACAGAAGGTAGTTTCAAGACTGAAGAGATGCTACGATGTTGTCCTTTTAATTGAAAGAAAAGATCCTTTGCCTCTGAAAATTAAATCCTCTGCAGTTCGTGATTGCTTTTCAAGCTCTTCAGCTTGTCAGTGAAATCGTGTAATCTGGTAATAGCATGCCTGGGGCTTACTGCATTTTCTTGGGCAGCGGTATCAGCAGATGATGTGCTCTGTTGATTTTAATCACACTGGGGTCGATCCTGATCCCTCTGACCCGGGTGTAAGTGCAGGGTATTTTCATTGATTTTCACTGGAATTACCATAAATATATCTTAGTGTAAGTGACATCCGAATTGTGTTCATTGCAGTTATGGTTCTAGGGTAGGATCTTAAGAAGTCACCAGAGAAAAGAAGGCATAGATGGCTTGTTCCATCTCTTGGTCTGTCACATCTTGCTTATTCAAGCAGCCTTCCTCTTTGACCAGTTGTGAATCTGCCAGGGCATGTGGCAAAGGCTCAGGGTTGTCCTGCTAAACACACAGTAGTTGTTGTCTCTTAACCACTCCGAGTTTCTCTGAGGTTCCGGCAGTTTATCACTAGAATTCCTCATTATTCATAACCTTTAGGAAGTCCTTGGCATTAATATTATTATTTTCTTTTTTATTTTTTTGTAAATGGCCAAAAATAAATTACTGAAATGTAGGACTTCGTCCTGCAGTTGTTAACTAAGATGTTGGCTTTGTGCAACAGGGAAACTGACTATTTAATAGTTAATAATGGAGAAATACTGATGAACATTCACTAGAAAATGTATTTTGGATCACTTCAGATTTTTTTTTTTGTTGTTGTTGTTTTAGATTTCTGGTTGTGTATAAATTTATTAGCTACTAGTGTGTGGAAAACACACACACAAGAAGTTTGGGCTTGAGCAGAACACACACACCACAAGTTTGTATCTTTACAAAGGAAGGAGGAAATTGTTCCCCCGTCTTTGGCTTATGAGCAGGGCAAGATTTTTCCACACAGTAGGATCAACTTATTTCAGCATTCATCCTTCTTTTTTTTTTTTTTTTTCCCTTAACAGGAGGCTGTGATTAGTTCTAGTGTTTCTTTCTAAATAATCAGATTTGGGAAAAAGCAACGTAACATGGATATATTTTTGCTACTTAGAATATATAAATATCTATACATATTCTGTAAGTAGACAACATTAGAATGAGCTGTGTGTAGGCAGAGACCATCAGCTTGCTTCATATGCCCAGTTTGCCAGTCTCGCCAAAGTCACAGCCTCGCTTTTTGTGTGCAGAAGGTCTTGCCCTTTTCTAAATAACACTGCACGAGGAGGCTACACTATTAATTTGTAGCTCTTGCAGGGCATGTCTTCTGTTCAAAAGATTTTTCATATATTAATATTTTACAACACTGTGTGGTAAGTGGCATTATCTGAATTTAACAGATAAAGGGAGTTAAAGGAGAAGGCTGATGTAACTTCTTGGATCCCAAAGGAGGTGTTTTATCTGAGAGAAGATCTAATTTTTGACTCTGTTTAGAAGCAGATGTGCCAAAAGGTAGAAATAGAGTAATCAGTAAGGTTGAAGGCCCAGCACTTAAGAAGTAGCGTAGATGCTAAAAAGCATAGTAGGATCAAAACAGAAGAGGATCTAGGCTGTTGCAACACGTGGGCTAAGGAGCTGCTGCCTTTCAGCAGCAGAAGGTGCAAAGTTGGGATTCTTGGTGCCTTTATTCCCTGGCTGCTCAGGTAACATCTAAATACATTTGTGTGAGCTCGTGTTTCTCTTGGATCCCTCTCCATCACGTCTTTGATCTAAAAGACCAAAAACACTCTCAGGTAATGAAGGAAAAATACCTTCAGTTTTGGGGTTTTTGATCATGTTGTTAATTCACAGTAGAAAAAGCAAGCAAGCTGCAGATATCGTAGGGAAATACCTCTAGGAGTCCAAAGTTGTCATCTGGTAGCATTTGCACTCTCTGCTCTCGTCTTCTTTGTGTCACAGGCTTGTTGTATTGGGGTTGGACTCGATGACCTCTGAGGTCCCTTCCARCCTTAAGCATTCTATGATTCCCATTTATTAAAAACAGAGTAGGTATTTATCTGCTCCTGCTGTCCAGCTCTTTAATTGTATGAAAGGTGCATTTGTCATCGTTACTTAGCTGAAGTAGGTAAGGCAGAGAATTTGCTGTTTGAACAAACTAGACTTTGGATATTTACTACCAGTACTGTGTGTTCTTGCTGTGTGATGCTGTACAGCAGGGTTTTCTTTTCTGCCCATAAAGCTTTCTGTCACGCCGTCTGTTCATTCTTTAATTGGTTAATTAAATCTGTTGTTATGGTTCCTAGTTCAAGCAATTAATAAAACATTGCAAAATACTCTATGAAAAGCTTGCAGATGTCGGTGTAGGGTTCGCCTGGTGTTGTGGCCTGTTCTGCTGATGCTGTAAGGTAGCACCTGTCTCTCAGAATACGATTCGAGCGCAGGGAAAAGGAAAGCTCAAGCAGAGGCTTCAAGCAGATCCAAGTAGGATCACTTGGATTTTTACTCTTGGTGATATTTTTATTTAAAGCAGCTGCAAGTACTTTTCTTTTTTTAAGGTTTTTTTTTTGTATTAATATAATATTTGGTGATATTGAAAGAAGTGTATTGGACAACAGAGGATTTTACTCTGTTCAGCAATGTTTCTTAGGGCGCAAAAACTTTGTCCGGAAACAAAACATAAAAGAAATATATAATTTTAGCCTTCTTTTTAATATATTCAGAATATATAAAGAGAACAAAAATATTTCTGTACATCATTAAGCTCATCTCATCCTTGGGCATTGCTTTGACATCTCTTTGGTTAGTTTCAGAGGATCAAAGATTGTAACACTTTTATCATGTTACAGTTGACAAATTCGTAGATGGTAGGAATAAGAGTACTAATATTGTCAGAGACTTAAATATGGAAATAGGGTATTAATAACATTTCATTTAAATTGCAGAATATAGGATATATGGTGAGATTAGAAATTCTCTCATTATAAAAGCAGTATATCAAAAAAGAACATACTCCTAAGTACTTCTTACCCACATGTAAGGATTTTGTGTCATTGTTTCATAAATAAGCCATCTGTCATTCAAAAGAAAAGTTGAGATCTGGGAAGTGAGAGGGTGGAGAGGAATGAAGATTTAAAGATACACAAATGACATCTGAGTTTTTCTGCGGGGTGCATAAGCAGCAATAGCATGGAGGATATATTGCAGAGTGCAAACTGAAAATAGGGCCCTTGCTTTCTGCAGAAACACAGGCTGTATGCACTCACCTGAGTCCATCTTCTACATTTTCTTGCAGTCTTTATCCTTCTTTTAGCTCATTTGTCTCTGTCATCTCTAAAACGCCATCTCCCTTATGATGTTTAGCAGCTAAAACCCCAAATTGCCTGAGACAAGAGGACAAGAGGGCCTTCTCATAACTGTTGGTATTTCTTTGGGCAGGGCGGCAGCTGCTCGGCTGCTTCAGCATGAGGATCAAGAGCCCCGTGTTTGATGACTCCAAGCGCAAGAGCTCGTGTCCCTGTGCTGAAGGAAGTGAAGCGGTGTCCGCAATTGCAGGTAGTTTTCTGCTCCTCACTAGCAGTAAAACTCTGGCATACATGAGCATGCACAACTCCTCCTTTTTAGGTGGACAGCTTCCACAGGGCATGTTCTAAGAATTAGAGGTAGCTTATAGTCCCCTAAGTAAGGTAGTTCTCTCAGATATTGTCTTGTCTCAGTCCTCCCTCTTGTAGGAACTGAGACCTGGCCTTCCGGCCTCAGAATGTTTAGATGAACCTGCCTTTTTGGAGAAAAGTAAATTTTGAGGAATTTACTTTTCTCTCCAGTGGAATTCCACGAAAACCTAGAAATACTTGCTTTCAGTATCACCATCAAGCAGTATTCCTGAATGGTGTTCTTGCATGGAACCACTTAGAAGCAAAAGTTCATTTTAATTTGACTCTCCAAATGAACATTTTTCCAGGTTTAGTGAACTATTTTGAAATCCTTCAAAAATGTGTTGCGTCTCATTTGCTTTGATGGAAAAATCTGTTAGAATTTTGTACTGTCAGGTGAAAGAAATACTTTTTTTCTGTGCCTAAATCCAACCAGTAATCTGTAGATAGACAAGCTGAAGTTTAGTTTTTGACCACATTTTTTCATTTTGCAGATCTGCTCTTCAGACCAGGATGCTGTGTTGCCCAGTCAGTCTCCTCCTCAGTGCAGCAGCCACTTGCAGTTAGGATTCGAGGTGGTTCTTCTACCCGCCCTCTCTCCACTTAGGTTTTGTTTCCTCAAGCAGTGGACACATTCCTGCCAAACCCAGTGTTGTTTTTTAATTTGGAGAGAGCATACATAAGACTGAACAGATGGCTGAAAGCAGTCAAGGGAAGACTGTAACATGTTTCTTGTGCTTGGCCTCGTTTCAATCAAGCAGTGGTGAGGATATTTGCCCCTATTGCAAGCAAGACCCCATGGGTTCTGGGAGAGCGTTACCAGCGACGTCTGAGCAAGCAGCCAGGGACAGCACAGCCCCCCTGGATGTCTCCTTGCCTCATGTCTTGAAGGAATCAGTTTCTGTGGAGGAGGTAAGCAAATTGGAATTGGATCTCCGTTTTTGTTTTCCTATTTATTCATTAAGTTTGTATGCAAGAGGAGATATACTTTCATAAGGTACAGTTGTTGATGCTCATTTCCACATAAAGTGAGGATGAGTGTCCAGTAGACTCTTTTAAGGAGTATATAGCAGGAATGGCTACGTGAACCATAGAGATGTTTTTTGAACTCTTGCGCCTGTTGAGGACCTGATCTTATTTCCAGTGGGCGTAGAAAATGTTGTTCCCCCAGAAAGCATGGACAAAGTGGTAATTGCAACAGCTGTGTAAGGCACAAAGATTCACCATGTATGATATCTGTGTATAGCATGTTCATATAATCTATTAACTGTATTAACTGAGCAATCTAATCATTAGAGGATGTATTGAAAAAATTAACTTAAAATACCAACCTTTAAAAACTATTTATATAGGCATATAGCCTTATTTTTTTTTTTTTTACCTCAGGGTAATATGTGAAATGGGATGAATTAAATATTTTTAAATGGTGTAATGGTTTGTGGTGAAATTCATGTAATGGTATCACATCTTAATTCTTAAGTTATAGTTCAGTCAGAAGGTTTGTTTATAAGCCCCATATGTATTTTTACTGCTATGTAAACTGATGAAGAAATGTTAACTCCAAAGGGCTCTTTAGACCTGTAGGAGACCAGTTAGCAATGGCCTAACATATGTTAGGTTTTGCTTATAGACTATAAAGTTATAAAGTAGACTAAGGAAATAGGTCTGGCTAGCCGTTCAGGCAGAACTGAAAGTTGAAGAAGTGAGTGAGATTCTGTTAATGCTGCATCAGAAATGATGAGGCAATACCCAGAGGTTACTGAATCCCAGATTCAGTGAATATGTGTAGTTTTCTAACCTGAGATTATTTGTTGCCTGAAGCCCCAAGGAACTGAACTGTGAGGTCATATGCCTAACAGTTTACAAAGAGTAGTTTTAAAGCAACTGGTCTGGTTGTTAGGTATACTGAGAATGCACACATTCAGTTCAAAGGAATGAAATTTTTATGTTCATCACACTGTGAAAATCAAACTTCTGATTTAAGAGTCAGATTTCGGATGGGAAAGGCAATTTTCTCTTTTTTCCTGCCACCCATTATACCCTCCAATGTCTTTAAAATATGATACTCTTCAGCTGTGTGATAGTGTGTAAATAATAGTATTACACTACAATAAGAGTAAGTGGAAAAAAATAGACTCAAGTTAGATTTAAAGCTGATTGTCTTTAATGTCTCTGTAGTCCATTCTTATTGAGGTACAGATCTATTTTCGTATCATTCCTGCAGTAGTTAATGCATTGATTGGAGATATGTTCATCTTATATCATAATCCTCTCTTTAATATTATGGACCCCAAAATTTTACAGTTGGAGCCTTTAAAAGCTTTTGTTGGAGGAGTTTGTACTACATATACATCTGAAAAGAATAAATTGGAAAAAGCACTTAGACAGAAATTTCAGACAAAAATCCAGCATTAGGGATATTAATGTAAATGGGTCTGCTTTCAGATAGCATTTCTACGTACATGGATACAAAGTAACCATTATCCTAAACGAGTAATATCTGAATATACAACCAATTATTTGTTTTTGTGAGTTGTAGGAAAAATGTGGTCAATATGAGAACAAAGTAAGAAAAATCTTAACAAAGAAGTTAGAGATACAGGTATTTGTTGCTACTGCAAGAGAAGTTTCCCATTTTTTTGAACAGTCATTCCAGTTAATGCTAGGAAATGAACATGTAGTAACTTCCTAGTTGCCTGTATGGCTGCTGGTCGAGTGAACAGAACGCAGGTTTAGACCTCATAGGAGTTATATGGCAATGGTTAAAATGGCAGTTGTTTTTGTAAAAAGACAAATAGCTTGTGTTCAGTATTATGTTCATGAAACACCAGTTTATTAAGAACAATTTTTAGTGTGCAACTCCTCCATTACAGGCCTAGTTTGTGACTTCCCATAGGTGTAACAGAAGCTTTTGTTTTGCATTGTTTTATTTATTACTAGCACTTAAATGCAGCTCTCTAAACGCACCATCTGTGAATTCCCAGCAAATTCGTTATTCTAAGCTGACCAGAGAAGTCAGTGGGTATTTGTTTGGCAGTAGCAAATGTATTTGATTTCCAGCCTCCTCAGATTATTCCATTGCATATTCTGTTTAAGAATTTGCTTCTCCCTCCTCTTCCCACCACAACCTTGTAAATGCCTCTGTCAGAAGTCAAGTGTCACGGTTAGCAAACCATTTGCAAACAATAAAATTGTGGATACTTGAATATATGCTTAGCTTTAAGTTAATTACACAGTTGACACTAATAACCCATCTCAGATATTGTTGGTAAATGTTCTGCTCTTTGGAGCCTTTAAAAGTACGGTTAAAATTTTTGCATTCATTTTAAATGGGCTTTATTGCTTTTCTCTGTACACAACAGTTGTAGAAAGTGATGTGTAGTTACTGAAAAATGAAATTTCAGGCATGTCTTTATTTCTTTAGCATATCTTTTGAAGAACACTTAACAATGTAGGATAGAACAGACTCTATGCTATTAAAGTTGTATATGCTCTATTTATAAAATACATTGGCAACACTTTTAACATATTCGTTGAATTAGCTATATAGAATTCTGCTGCATTGACAAATGTAATTATTAGCCTTAACTAAGTCACTTCATTTCTAATTCATCCTGGACCAAGTCATTTCATTTGACCATAAAACAGTAGATCTGGTTTACACTGGGATAGAATATGAAAAGAGGCAGCAAAACTCTACAAAAGAACCCAAAAGGAGAAAAAAAAACCCCAAAAAACACCAACACTTGTTTCTGGCAGAGTTTGGTATAATTTTTTGATCTTTCACAGCTTTCTGTTTGTCTTGGGTTTACGTGAGATTAACGAATGCATTAATTTTTTTTACATCTTTTCTAATATTTAGTCTGTACTATTCTGTGTTACATATCTTACCGTGGACTGGATTTTGATGCATCAGAAACCGTGTAAGATTTCTTGAATACTGCATTTTAATAATGCTTCCTTTTCCCATGAAGATGCCAAAGTCGGAGCTAAGAGAACCCTACAGAAAAATGTACCCGCAGTCAACTCGCAGCCACAGCGCGGAAGTCAAAATCCCTCATACGCGCGTGAGTGATGGAGCTGCTATCCAGGTAGGTGGAGTTCCTGGCTGTAATGGGTATGGATTCCTTAGGTCCTCCTCAGTGTAGGCTCCCCTGTTGGAATTTCAGGGCTGCCAGAAGTCCTTGGCAAATAGCTGAACACCTGGCACGTCCTCTGTCCTCCCAAGCCTGAATTTTTTGGTTGAAAAAGAGGATAAGTGCAGGAGAACAAAGTGGAGCCCAGTGGCAGCTGGGAGGGTATTTGTATGGTTTCCATCAAAGTAAATTCCTAGAAAGCAGAGGACGTTTTCCTGGAAAGCCCTGGGAGAAGTCCATAACAAGTGAAGGAGAGGATTTGTGGAATTCAGAAAGTGAATTTCTTGGAAGGCAGAAGTTGGGTTGGGATGAGAGGGGAATTTTCTGCTGTGTGGAATGTTTTTCTACAAAGCAGAAGGAAGGAATTTCTAGGAAGTCACAGGGGAAATTCCTAGAAAGGAAAAGAGCATTTTTTAAAACACTTGTGAAATTTCTGGAAAGCAAAAGGGAGGATTTCTAGAAAAAGCATGAGAAAAAATTAAGAAAGGAGAAAATGTTTAGAAAGCAGGAGGAGCTTTTCCAGAAAGTATATAGGAAGTTCCAGAAAGTGAAAGTGGTGTTTCCTAGAAAGCATACAAGAAATTCCTGAAAAGCAGAGCAAGGATTTCCTAGAAAGCATATGGACACCCTCGAGAGAACAGAGGAGTTAATTCTTAGAAATACGGTGTTAATTCTTGGAAAACACATTTGGAAATTCTTGCCAAAGGGAGAGATGCCTAGAAAGTTGTGGAGAGTTTTCCCGGAAAGCATAGTGGGAAATCCTAGAAGGCATATGGGATCATTTCTTAGAAGACACAGGAGGGGTTTCTGGAACGCGTGTAAAAGCAGAGGGGCGAGTTTCCCCGTGAAAGAGGAGCCTTTCCTAGAAAGGTCAACTCACATCCTTGGAAAGCCCAGGGAAGTCCTTGGCAATGCAGGTGATTGCCCCACGGGACGGCTGCAGGAGCAGCGGGACGGCCGCAGGAGCAGCGGGACGGCTGAAGCGGCCAGGCTGGATCTGCAGCAGCAGCGGGGCCGAGGGAGAGCGGGCCGTTCCTTCTGGGAATTGTGTCCACACGCGTGTTGCTGCCCTAAATCTGAACGGCACTGCCCACGCCAGCAGGGTTTCTTTTTATATACTGACCATATTGTTCTTAGTATTTCGGCATTGCACCTAACATGTGATTTCATTGAGTTTGTAGCTGTACACGGAGTACTAGTACAGCTGCAGTTCATGGTGCAAAGGTAGAAAAGCTCATGCTGAACTCTACCAGTTGCTGGGCTGAAATCCTGCAATAAGCATGTATGGAGCCTGCACAAACATTCAGTATAAAAATCTGTCAGTATTTTTCCTGAAAGATGAGATGGCTTTTACTACAGATATCTTTTAAATATTTACATTGGAAAGTCTAGTTTTGTGAGTTCTTGACTAATAAATTTGGTTTGTTTAAAAAAATTAAAAGCTGCGCTTTTTTGTTTCTGTTTTCTTTAGGAAATCTATTCTTTTGGAAGGAAGCTAGGACAAGGCAGCTTTGGGGTGGTGATAGAAGTGAAACACAAAGGCACTGGCAAAAAATGGGCCATTAAAAAGGTGAACAGGAAAAAGGTAAATAGCATGTAGGTGGGTTTTACAGTCTTCCTTAACTATCTCAGTGAATCTCAATTATATGCATAGATACTCCTGTGCCTAAAACTTTTGAGACGTTTCACAGAATTATGTATTTGAAGTTGTAAGGTCTTAGAGACCAAATTTACTGGTTTACCTGAAGCAATCATGAAATACAGTAGGAGTTACTGTAATAAAGTTTTGAAACCTATAAAATGCATGCTATCACTTTTTAAAAAAGAAATTACTGTTATTTAAAAATGCATATCATGATGTCTGTATAATATATTTTCCAATAATTACTAAGGCTGGAAGCTCTGCTATGAAATTACTTGAACGGGAGGTAAACATCTTAAAAAGAGTGAACCATGAACATATAATACACTTAGAAGAAGTGTATGAGACCCCAAAGGTAAGTTTTCATTAATTGTTAACACCTGGTATTAATACTCCCATTGGTAGAGTGACAAACAAGTGAACAAACAAATGATGTATGCTCCAAGATAGCACCTCATTATGTATCATATTATTGTCACATGAGACAAATCCTCCTACAACTCCAAAAGATTGTGGGAATGTTTATATTTTATTTTATTAAATTGTTTTTATTAATTTTTTTCTAAGTCCGTGTTGCCAGAAGCTTAAACTGGCAGTTGAACAGAGGACAAAAAGAGTTTACATCAAGCGAAATCCTTGATTTGGAGGATCTGGAGTACATTGCAATATCGGTGTACTCCAAATATTGGTAATGTCTGGGGCAGAGTAATTGTCTTTTTACTTTTTGTTCATAAAATCTGGGTCATTGCTGCACCTGGAGCACTGCAATTATATATATTGTTATAACCTTAAATACAACTCAGAAATAAGAAAGTTGTTACTTTCTCTCTTCATTAACATTAGCGGATGTATCTTGTAATGGAGCTCTGTGAGGATGGAGAACTTAAAAACATTCTTCACAGTAAAGGACACTTCACAGAAAATGAGACACGGCACATCATTCAGAGTCTTGCTTCAGCAATAGCATATCTGCACAAGAAAGGTAATTAAGTTCCTCTGTCTTTCCCTTGTTCATCATTTGGAGTGCCTGTATGCTCCACAACAGTTACGGATTGCTGTTCTTCTCTCTGACTTACTTAATAGTCTAAAAATATTCCAGTAAAAAAAATGAAATATACTACATGAATACTTTTTAAAAACATTTTTTCTTGTTATAACTGCTACCATTTTCTCCTATTTCTGTACTGTTGGATAATAGCATGTATTATTGTTTCTTAACTTATGACTGCTTTGCATAACATTAATTTCTTTTAGTAAGTATATAGTCTATTACAGACAGGAAAGCAAAGGTGATGTGCTTTTGAGACCTCTTAGCAGCCTTTCTTGCATTTAGGATTCAGTAAATTTAAGCATTTTCATCCACTGCATGGAAGTGCTACTATCCTGCACAGCCCAAGACAGAATCAACATATTCATTTAAGGCTTTATTGCTGACAGATGCATACAGGTTTTAGAGGTGAGCTGCATAGGATGCATAGAGCATCCTAGGAGTACTTCTGGCCTTTTTTCTCCAGAAGTTTTTCATCAAGTTTTCATTGTCTTACAGCATAACACTTGTAGGATTTTTTTTACCATTTTTCAATACAGATTGAGACTTCCTTGTATATCATCATGTCTTGTTTAAGGCTGTATCTGTTTATTGCAGTTGTTGAGAGGGCAAAGCCACCTAGTGCTTTTGGTTAATAAAAAGAATTGTAGTTATGAAAAAATCTAAGTTTGTATGTAAACATGAACATTTAATAAGCATGCAGTGTAAAGCCTGCTTTTTGTTAGATGTTGGCTGATCAGCTGATACATGACTGAAGCAATATGAACTTTTCCCCTTATTACAGGATTGTGGAGAGCAATGGATACAAATCTGATCCAGATTTGAAATACCTATATGATTCCCTGGCAGTAATGGAAAAGATGTATTTCTTTAGGTTTCCACTAGTTCAGAGTAAAATAGTCTAGAATTGCTCAAAAAAATTGTTCAGTCAAAAGAATTTAAAAAACGTTTCTGTCAGAACGTCTTCACTGCAACTGATAACACTTTATTTCTTATTCTTTCCTGGCAGATATTGTTCATAGAGATCTAAAACTGGAAAACATTTTAGTTAAAAGCACTGACATCGATGAAGCAAATGAAATGAAATTAAACATAAAGGTAAGAGTACAATTGTAGCAGTTCTGCTTCTAGCACTGACTGGTTTTAATCTCCAGGTATTCCTGGGGACTTGACTTTCATACCTATTAGCAGCTTTTGAAATGAGTGACTAAATGATGTTATTAATGGGGAAAAGGAAGACATTTCGGAAGCTAAGTACCCCTGTTAAAAAAGACATTTTTTGAAAAATGATAAAAGAATATTTCCAGGTCAATTAAAAAAAAAAAAGTCACTGTATCTCACTCATCTAGGTCTACATTAGGATAGTTCCAAGCCATTAGCAGGAACTCTAAGATGTCATTAATTCTGAATCTATCCGTATGGTAGATCTGCTAATAGTTTAGAGGGAAAAAAAAAAGTCTATTTAGATTATGCTGTTGATTGACATACAAAATATATCACAGGAGTTTTTGGATATTAATAAATATTTTCTACACAAACACAATATGCCATGCCAAAACACCTTGTTTTCACTGAAAGAACTGGTTCTTGATGCTTAATAAATCACATAATAGTTATCTGTTACCAAGTTACAGTTTTAATAGTTGTGAAAATGTATACATCTTTTAAAATAACATTGTCAAAGCAAAGTACTGGATTGTGGATCTACTACGTTAGGTGCATATTGACAAATGTTTTAGCCACTAAAGAGTACAGACAACTGACTAATTCATGGTGGAAGAATTCTGGATACAGAATCCAGTTTACTGTGTATCTTAGACCCTGTGTATTTTTACATAGTGTATGTGTACATAATGTATAATGTACATTTTGCATAATGTACTTTTATTTTTTTATTCACATAACTTTGAATTTCCAGATCTCCTTCAGTTTGAGGCAATTTGTACCTTTCTTCCTGGGAATGCTTAGAGGCAGTGAAGATATTGATATAGGCCTTCTGTTTCATCAACAGACCCCTTCCATCAGTGCAAACTGTTGTGGCCAGCAGTTACTTTCATTTCATAGTCCTGCTTTGTCTATCCATTTGGAGCAACAACTAGGAAAGTCTGTCACTTCTCCTTTCTTCATCTCAGTTTTACAATTATTTCCTGTCTAGGTCCAGAGTTTTCAGGTTTGAGGCAGCTAATGTTAAACATAAGGCCAAGGTTCGCGCTCTCCTGGTTTCGGCTGTGAGGTACAACGTTCCTGGGTCTTTGTGATTCTCTTCTTGGCCAGGAGATGAAGGGAGGATTATAAGTGAAACCCAGCAGCATGAAGGGAGATGCGTATTTCAATGGACCAGAGCTGTTAACTCATTGAGTAGTTGACCCTGAAATGCTCCTGGGAGAAAAGGGGAAGGAGTCCTGGTGTTGCTTTGCTCCTTGCCAAGGATCATCTCCCTCTTGGATGGGCACCATGGGGATGTATTTTCAACCATTTCTCTTTCTTGCTGCTTTATGTCGCTGCTGTTGTGAAGAAGGAATGGATCCACGGACTGTTGTCTCAAGTTGCCCGTATCTTTGGACAATCTAGGTTTTGTTTAGGTGCTTTGCAAGCAGCACTCTGATTATCAGCAACGTGGTTTTGTTTCTCTTGACCGTCTCACTTCTGGCTCTATCCCTGCTTGCCTACAGCCTTGTAGTGTCTGTAGTCTCTGCCTTCATATGTTTTTGTTGCTTTATTCACAGGAAAGTGTAAAATGATAAATGAGAATTTGTCTAATGTCTCTGGAGGGCACTTAGTTTAATGTGAATTTGAATTTCAAGGAAAAGAATATCACAGGAAAAAAAATGCTTAGACAGTAGAAAAAAAGGAAAAGCCCAGAAGAGACAGCCATAGTGGCGATGGATGCCAAGCTGCATATCTTCCTGTAAGACGGGGAGAAGGAAAGACTACTACTGATTTTTCTCTGGCTTCATTTTCAATATGAACAGTGAGTTCCAAGCTGGACCAAAGAACTTAAAAATTCCATCTTTGCTGCTAGTTTTAATACTGTTTATTTTTCTACTAGGTGACGGACTTTGGTTTAGCTGTGCAGAAGGCAGGTGGGAGTGTGTTTCAGTCCATCTGCGGGACTCCTATGTACATGGGTAAGTACAGAGCTCCACAGTGTCCAGGTGCTACAGCTCACTAGATCTTTCCCCATCACAAAACCACCTTTAAGCTCCTCCTCTTCTCTAGAAGGACGCTAAGGGGTGGCTCCCACTGGACACAAGGAATGGGGATGAGAGATTGATCCAGTTAGGATTATTCTCGGTGGGGAACGGGAGGAAGGGAAATGCAGAATTGCACTTTGCGTTTTAAGACTGCTTCTTGCCCTACCTGTCCTGAATATGAAGAACAGGTAGCACCTTCCTTGTTCCAGCAGCCTGATATGACACCTCTCCCATGGTCGTTTGTTCTTCAGGTTGAACAACATGAACGATCCTGGTCCTGTCCCGCATTTCTCATTTTCTTTCTTGTTGATTGACTGACCATGCTCTCTTGGTTACTTAGTTTATTTAAGCAGAGTATCCAAAGATGAGCGCAATACCCAGAGACCTTAACCGGTGATTCAGATAGGCTTTGTGCTGGAAGAAGGAAGGAGTGTTTACCGTGGCCCCCTCGGAGAGGGGGCTGCGTGTGGAGGGTTTGCCCTGGCTGGTTGCTGTCACGGTGCCTCGCAGAGGCACCATCAGCTCGTGCTGCAAGGCGGCTCTCGCTCCACGAGCGGTTCCTCGCGCTCCCTGAGCTGCTGCCTGCCTGGCTGCTCCGCACACACGCGCATCCTGGCTGTGCGCTCCTGCCATGCTCTTGTCTTCAGCTTCAGTAGCGTGCTCTCTCCTGGAGGTCATCGGCTATAGGAATATCGTGGCTGGGCAGGCACGTAGAAAACACTCCTTACTGCACCCTGTGCTTTAACCATGAGCAAGGAATAGCTCCTTTCTGAAAGCAGTCTTTATAACCACATGTACATTGCTTGTATGATATTTTCCTTGAGAAAATAATATTAAAAAAGTTATGTGAAACAAAATGAAAAAAAAAGCCTTCCTAAAATGAGGAGAAATGATACATACTGTTCCTCCTCCTCCAGCCTCAAAGCCTGTCAGCCAGTGCTACAAGGAGGTCTTTTCCTGACAGGTGCATATAATGGCTCTTACCGCCCTGTTTTCTTCTAGGTGCTTATTATTTCAGGTGTTTTGGGGGGAAATAAAACTAATGGGATGTATGTGCCATTCTTTGATACCACCCTGTGCACCCTGTTACAGATAGATGCCTTGATTGTCTGTTTCAGTCCTGCAGTATTTTCTGTCTTCCACAAGTTCTTGAGCCAATAATAGCTCTGAAAAGTCCTGTCAGGTTTTAAAATACTCTAGAATTAATTTCATCACTTACAGCTGATTTAAAATTTTCCAGCCTAAGTACTTGCTAACCTTTTACTTCTCTGTGAAAAGCTGGGGTCTTGCCTCTTTGTCACTGACATCGATTGGGCTGTCTCCTGCTTGCTGGGGTGACGTTTTGGTTCACATGGATGCAAGAAGACATTACATACATTTGCCTTGTGCACAGCATCTCTCAGCAGCTTTCGTGGCTGAATACAATTAACTTACTCTTTGCAGATTATTTCGTTATTACTTAGCTGCCTTGTTGGTTGCTCTGTAATTTTTCTTTGAGATTTTTGCCCCTCGGTGTCTGTTTTCCTTCTTTTCTTGTTCCGCTTCCTGCATTCCCCACTCTTGTGTCTGAGGCCTATGGAGATTCCTGATTCAGCCAGCCTGTTTTATTAATAAATGCCTTTTTTTTTTCTATCTGTTCCTTCGTGGAGTATCATTCCTGAGTTGCAAGCTCTCGTTACACACATGGTCATGTTGTAAGGTGTGAAGTTTGGTAGTGCAATTCCAGCAAAATCAGTGAAATTCAATCAGCTGAGAATTCAGCCTTCCAGTGTATTTTTCTAGAGATCGAGCCGTAGGACTTCCCCAGCTTGTTCATATTATTTCAGAATAAGTGTTAATAATAATGTAGAATAAGTGTTAATAGCATGAGTTATTGCTAGTCTAAAATGTTGCAAAATAAAATATAAGGTAATATTTGGATTTGTAGTATTTGGTCAGTTTGGCAATGTTAATAATAAAAAATCATCTTTGAAGTCTTGATGTACCACTTGTGGTCTTATCAAAGTATTAAGTGTATTGTTTAGTTCCTTTACCTAGTAAATCAACGACTGAAATTTGTTGCCAAAGTAAAACATTAGTAACTGAGGTGACATTTAACCAAACTTTCTGAGTTGTTGGGCAAATGCCAAATAGTCTCTGTTATTAGGACCTCTCCTACGGAAAGGAGTTAGTTCTGTTTCTTCCTGGGGCAAATTATGTTGCCCTCATTGATTTTGGAAGTGGAAACCACAAGTTTTGCTGTGATCTCACTACCACAGTTACCACAATTTAGGGGCTAAAAGATCAGTAAGATGACCCCAAAGCAGCATGTGACTGAAATGCATGTGACTGAAATGATATAAAGTGATTAGAGAATACGTTACAATATGTGAATTTTTAATCTAGGATATAAATAAATCAGTGCAAATATTTTTAGAGTATTTTGGCATTGTTTTTGTTCATTATGTGAGGTATTCTAATTGGAAGTGCAAACAGAGGCTCTCGTGTCTTGCAAAAGATGGGTGTTCTTGGGTGCTGCTCCTATTTCTGAGGGACCAGTGAAGCTTAGGTGGCATCTTGCAGTCCTCCAAGCCAGCCTTTTATGAATACTGTTCTAATAACTTACTGTGGGGAAAAACAATGCTGCGTTTAAGCATACAGCTAGTGTCACAGTGTCACCACCCCTTAACAGCTAAATGATAAAAGTGAGGACACGTCAGCATGAATTGTTAAGGTCTGTACATTATTCATTTAAACATCTGCTGTTGGTTCCTCTTTACATATGGGAATAAATTATACGACATCAGCACATTCTTCATGCTTTGTGTTTAAGCATTTGAAAGGTTTTTTTTGTATTATTAATATTATTTTTTCTGCTTGGTTGGCAGCCCCTGAAGTTATCAGTGCCCATGACTACAGCCAGCAGTGTGATGTTTGGAGCATAGGTGTCATTATGTACATGCTGTAAGTAGCTTGTAAAACTGATATAAAATGTACAGACCCATTTATAATACAAGTACTTAACAATTTGGCATTGGATAGGAAAGTAAACCTGTGTGCCAAACCCTAACAAATGACTGTGCTCTCATAATTGTTTGTGTCTAAACATTACAAATTTTTATTTGGAAGAAAGTAAAATCTACAATGTGATTTGAGAGCTATTTAATAATCCTGGAATGACAGGATGCTACTGAATATCGCTGAGCAATACTCTGAAACTGGGCAGCGAGCTTCAGCCTTCTCTGTGCACGTGCTGACTGGAGGTCCGTGTGGGAAGTGAGGTGCTGGAGAAGCCCTTGACTGGGTGGCACGGATGGAGCGTCAGGAGACGGCGGCTCCGGGCGGCCCCCTCGTGTGCAGCCTCCGTCCCTCGGGAGCCAGAGGAGCCGGCCGCCTTGGAGAGGAGGCAGTGGCACTCCGCTCAGTGCTGGAGGCTTGCTTGGCTTGCAAGGTTTGCCTTGGCTGCAAAATAACAACTCGTGCGTGTGCTCCTGAGTATCGCCTACACGTAACCCCGTCATTAAAAACCGGGTGGAGCAAAGCACGTAAACACCTGTTTGGATCATGCAGGTAAAACTGATAATTACGTAATCAAAAGGTCACATTGTGAGCAGAGTTTCTATTTCTTTCTCATAATTTCTTGCATTTTCTAAAATTCTCTTTCAGTTTTTTTCTGCTCTCAGATGCCCCTAGATGATGCTCAGATGCTTTAGTGCAAATGTCTCAGAACATCAACTCTTGCCATTTCATTTGTTGATGTTTTTGCTGTACTGTGGTTCTTTTACTTCTGTTATGTACAAACAATTTCTTTTATAACTGAAGACTTTGGACGCAAACATGCAGTTTCTTAATTTTCTCTTTCGGGGATTTTCTCTGATTTATTTTCCTCTCCCTCATAGTGGTTCCTCAAGTTTCTTTTCTGTACAATTAGTCCATTTTTCTTCTAGTGTCAGCGTGATGAAGTGTTTGTAGCTTTATTGCCTTTATTTTGTTTATTTCTAAAATTTATGCTGGTGCAAAATGAGTTTTATCGTTGTGCTTCATGGTATTAATGTTTGCATCGCAGTAGTAGGATTTGCACAGCATAATACAGCAGAAAATGTTAGGAAATGGACCCTTAGAAGGGACTGGTTTCGTTGCCTTATGCAGCCCGATAGCAGCAGCTATGAGCATGTTTCCCAGCTTAGTGCTTGGGATGCCCCAGTTCTGACCTGTGCTCATTGCAGGGCTTGCTGCCTTAATTAGCAATACAAATATATTTGAAAATTAGCATTTTGTAATCACAGGGGTGTCAGAACAAAGTAACATTAATTCACCCCTTATTGCGTCTGCTGCACAGGAATGAAAATACTGTGTGTGAATTAATAGAATACAATTCACACTGCTTTTTATTGCTTCATTTGAAAATAGTAGCGTAGAGGCCTTAAGATGAGCTTCTGCTTTTAACTCTGGCTTTGCGCGTTGCTTCCCTCGCTTTCCTGGGTAGCAGCACGTGCGTGTGGTGTCCTGGCTGGGGCCTGAAGGCGCCGCTTTGGCCGTGGCCGCGCTGGCCCCTGGGGCTGCCATTCCTGCCGCGCCGGCCCCACGTGCGTGGGGAGCAGAGCCCCAGGCCTCCATGTGTGGGGAGCAGAGCCCCGCGAGCCTCCTGAGCTCCTCCTCTCATCCGTGCTGCTAGTGCACAGGGCTCCTCTGCACAGCGCCAGCGCCATCTGTCTTATATGTAACTTAAATCGAGGCGTGCCTTACATTGTCCATTTTATTTCTGTTTTAATGTGTGCTAATAGAAACATAAGCAGCAGTAACCAGAAAAAGGAAATCCGTTAAAATGCGCAGGTCTGTCAGCACCCTGTAGAGCAGAGGAGCAAGCGCCGCGCTGCGTGGCGTGTGGGCCCGTGGGCTCGTGCCCCACAAGAGAGGCCGAGGCGCTGCTCGCTGTAGGGCTCCTGCCTTTGCAGCCACTCTGCAGCCTGTGCCCAGAGGCCCTGCGCCCTGGAAGGCTCCTCTGAAACCTTCCTGCAACTGGGAGAGCTGCTCCTGCCTCACACGCTACTTGCGACGCTGCAGAAGTAAGAAACATAGTAAGCTTTTGCTTACATGGAGCTTTTGCTACTCTCTGAAGACAGGCACATTTCCTCGCTGATTTGCAAGGCGCTCTGGGACACACTTCCCGTGCTTCCATTTCCCGGAGCCTTTAGCCAGGTTATCCGCTGTCTGCCGTGGCTCCGGCATGGGGAGAGCCCCGTACCCCGCGGGCCAGCAGAGGAGCAGCAGCAGCAGCAGCGCTCTGGCGCCCGTGCAGCCTGTTGCATTGCATGTGTCAGGATTGCCAAGGAAAGCTAGAGGGTAGAGGAGGAGCAGCAGTTTCGCTTAAAAGCAACTCTGACCTTAAACGTTTGGGGAGAAATGTGCTAGAAAGTGAGTTTTTATGGCTTACCTTAGGGATTGAAGTCATGTAAAACAAATTCCAGAATACTTTTGTCTTTTGATATAAAGTGACAGGCATTCTTCACTAGGATGTGACAGCTCCATCTTTTCAGGAGCTACTTCTGTGTTTTGAGAATAGAACTAAAAACATAGTTTGGTGCAAATAATTTGTTTGATGAAGTTAGGCTTCTCTTTGTTTTAAATGGCCACAAATAGATGGATTCATTTCTTGAAAGTATTTGCTATTTAACTTTTGCAGTTACAACTCAGTTGTGCGTGAGTAGTTCAATGTAAAATCTTCTAGAAATTTAATCCATCTCTATTAGTTTTGATATAAAATACACATCACATGTTAGGATTTTTCATTCATAATGTGATTGATAGAACACAGATCAATATTTACTTTCAAAGAATATTCTCTAATAATCATTTATAGATGATGGTTCTACTGGTAAACAGTAATAGTTGCAGAAACCAATGACAAAAAAAGGAAAAACTGAATTTGGTGTTGCTACAAGTATTTTCTTAGGAATGCATTCAGTTTGGTTTCATATATTATCATTATTGCTACCACATATATATACCACATATATATATAGCTCATTGGCATAAATGAAGCAGAAGATGCAGAAAGAAATTGATTTAACAGACGTTTTAATACCACATTTGCTTAAATATTTTACTCAAAATAACAAGGAATGCATTGGAAGAGTGCAGTCAACACCTATTTCTATACATATTCATATTCCTTATATGGACACGTGGGATATCTCTTGGAATCTTTCTGATATTTCTATTCTCTAATATATTTTCTATTTTATAATTATATTTCTACCAGTCCCTTAGTTGAGATTATGCCATTTAAGGTAATGTTTATACTGTGTAGCTGAAGGAGTTCCCTTCCAACCTTAACCATTCTGTGATTCTGAGATGGTGTTTGATATGATAATAAAAGGCAACAAATTAAAAATTATTTTTCCTCAAATCATTTTCTACTTTATGTTTCTTTTTTCCTGAAAATCACATTTTTGTAACATGAAATGTATATGTCCGTTTTCTCCTCAGCGACACTTGCTTTCATCTACTGCTATCCAATGAAGAAAAAAAGAAAAAATTTCCCCCAAAACTATAGACTGAGCATTGACTCATACATAATTCCTAGATTTTAAGATCTTGGGAATGATTTTACTACTCTGAATAGTGCAGCAATGCATTCAACTTAAGGACACAATCATCTACTGTGTATGACCAATTTGACTTCTTAGGTAAACTTTGTTCTACAGTCTGATTTTATCAAGTAAGTCCCATTGAATTGGCTTAATTCCTTACTGAACTGACCAAGTGACCTGCAGCTGATCCAAAAAGTGGTGTTTAGAAGATAGCTCATTTGGATTTAAATGCTTAAGTTGAGATAAATGTGTTTTTTCTTCTTGTTTTTTTCAGTTCTGTCTCAGTTTATAATATCATAAACTTATAAACTTACCATAAACTTATAAATTCGAGGAGAGCATAGATAAGTGAGAGTTATTATTGAAGAGTAATGGGTTGTTGGGTTTTATTTTTATTTTTTTTATGGAAAGTAATATTTTGGCATAAAGCATAATAATAATAATGTTGTGGGAAGTGTTTGTAGTAAACAAGTCCTGTGGCAAAATGCCACACATGTGGCTGGGTTAACTTTCATTTAAGCCGGGTACTTGGATGAGTGAGCTACAGAACAGCAAAATACTGTATTTTCAGTTTAATTTCCCTTTTTTTTCCTTCTAGTTTCTATTTTCAGCTTTAAGTTGGATCTTTTTATATCTTTGACTCCTAGTGTAGAAATCCATATAGTATCAATTATCTTCTCCCTATGTGGATGCATAGTGACCAAGATCAGATCACCTTTTAACCTCATAACCTCTTTCCCTTAAATCTCTCTGACTGACATATTTTTCCGAACTTGAGTCACCTTTGTGGAGTTCCTCTAAAGCTTTGGCAGTCCTGCTCACTTTTTGATTTCACAGGGATCCAGTAATACATAGTTTTTGCCTCACTGGTGAAAAATAGTAGGTTTCCATTCACTGACCCTAATTTTCTTGCAGACTGTGTGGTGAACCTCCCTTTATAGCGAGCTTAGAAGAGAAGCTTTTTGAACTAATAAGAAAGGGAGACCTGTGCTTTAAAAATGCAGTTTGGGAAACAGTTAGTGAGGCTGGTAAGTACACAATGCTCTCACAAGACAGATGCTGATAGTATTGCAATGAATTCCACAAATGTAGTTTTGATCTCTTTTTTTGCCTTTAAGTAGTGTGCCTTTTCTGAAAAGTGAAATTGATGCTAAGAAATAAATTCACATAAATGATATCATCAAATAATTCCGTAGCGTTGTAAGTAAAATATTCTCTGCTGAATTAAAGCACTCACTTGAAAGTGTATTGAGTTGTTATTGTTAACAGAAATGAGATGTATCTAAGGATGTTTTTTTTTCTAGCAAAACAAGTATTGAGACTACTTCTGAGAGTAGACCCTGCTCACCGAATCACAGCCAATGAATTGCTTGATAACCAGTGGATAACAGTGAGTTTTGAGGAGTTACGTTTGTTCACCTCGTGCTCTACCCCGTACCTAACCTGGCGTTGTATGTGAGGATGTTGTGTTGCTTCTGTGCAGTCTAGTAGGGTGAAAAATTAAAACAACAACAAAAAAACAAGCAAACTGTAAGGACTTTATCCACAGCCTCCAAGTTAGCGTATTTTGCTTGTATCACAGGGGCTTCTGATCAGCCCAGTAAGTAGCAAAAAACTTCCTGCTGCCTGACATGGAAAGCTTTATCCAGCCCCACTTCACCTGACTTCGCACGTGTTTTAACTTTGATATAGAAGTATGGATTCAGGTCATTTTTAAGGAATGTTGTGAGAATTAATTAACTACAATAATTTCTTTTTTTCTTTCCAAATTTGCAAACAGAGGGATTGAGTTACAGGGAAATTTGTCCTTTTTGAAGGCAAGGGAGTTGTCTGGGGAGGCTTAGGAGGGGACCTCTGAGTTCCTGGCCAGGTGCAGCCCATGGTGCTGTGAGAATATTGGCCTTTCAGCTGCTCGCTGAGATGAAAGCAGAAGGAATGGACGTGTTTGCTGCTCCAGTGTAACGCTGGTCACAGCAGACCTTAATCTCTCCTGTAGCAGATGGGAAGAGATGCGTGTGTGAATTGTTTAAAAATATTCTGATGTATGGAAGGATAGAGCTCTGCATTTTTCAAATGATCGCTGGTTTTCCCTCACACCTTCACCTACAAATGAACTGTTCTGGACGAGGATACCCATCTTTCTTCTTTCCTGCTAATTGACTATAGCTGAAGAAGAAGCTTTTTCTTATAGTTTCTGTGCATCCTTGTGGCAGAGAAAGAATTGACAAGCCAAAAGAACTCCAAAAGCCTGAAAAACAAGGCTGTATTCATCCTAGTTCAACCTTGCCGTGTTCTCAGTACCTGGCTGTTCTTGCTTGACTAAGCTGCAGATGTGGAAAACCACCATTCATGTGATTATTTACAACTTGCCACCACATGTTTTTGTGAAGTTTGAGAGTGGATTCTGTAGGATAACAGACATGCATGTAGAAGATAAAGCAAAAACCTTGTAGCAATTCGTAGTAAACCATTTTATATGGTATATCCTCTTTATCTCATACAACAGTTCAGGCGTGGTAGATTCTGACTTACTTTTTCATCAAAGAAAGCAGAGTAGGTTGCAGCCCAGTTAGCTACAGACTATAAGCAAACTCGAGACCATATTAGTAGGTTTTCGTTTGCACTTTCACAGTAACTGTGTGACTTGAGCTAGGATTTGACCTTGTAATTCCCCTGCGGTAGGAATTCCACAGTCCCACAGGCTGGCAGGGTGCAGAGGCTCCCGCGTTGCTTGGTGCCGGCCGGCTGCCCGTCCCAGCAGGAGCTCCTCGTTGCCGCACTCGCCTTCTCCGGCTCTGCTGCTGCTTCCGGCTTTCATGAAGCCTGAAGCCATTTACTAGAAAACGCATTTCATTTTCTAGTAAGAAACTTCTAAAAAGAAAAAACAAAGTTTTTAGGAGGAGTGAGAGGAACGGGACGCTTAGTGGGAAGTGGTGCTGGGCAGAGCTGCCCCGCAGCCCCTCCCGGGCTGCCGCCACGAGGCCTGGTTCCCAGAGGCGTGGAGCACCTGTGGCTCCGGCCCCTCTCCGCGGAGCCGCAGGTACCTGGTGCGCCGGGAAGCGGCACGAGCGCCGCTTCGGTGCCTCGGCGCGAGGCCGACGGGGAGCGCGGGAGTGCATTGTCGTGTAGAGGGTTCCGCGTGCGGAAACGCTGCCCCCCGGTGCGGGTGGCGCGCGGGCTCCTGCGCTGCCCTTAATGCACCCGGCACCGCGGCTCCCGCCAGGAAATCTCTGCCAGCTGTACCAAAAATTTATAAAGTCGCGAGTCATTCTGTATAATTAAAACTGACATCTCAAACAGGGATGCACAGAACTGACTCCAGAACTATACTGTAACAGTAGAAATTCTCATTTAAAAATTACAACATGCTTATAGCTAAAGAAATGATCTCAAGCTCCGTTTTAGTTAGTGGTTACCTCTAGAGGTTTATGTGTTGGCAGTTTGAGACCACATATGGTTTTGGCCGTGGGCTGTGCAAAGAGTTGGTGATCAATTATTTACCAGAAATACTAATTAAGGCAGTTCTCTTACTAGTTTGGATTATTCTGACCTTTATACCTGCTACAACTTTTCCAGACAAATTCAGCTTCTCACAGGAGAGACCACGGGAATAGCAGAATATCGTTAGGAAAGGCAAAGGTCACATTACCAGGAGGTTGTTTCTGCGTGATCTGCACAACTATGATTTTACTTACTAAGTGTAACATTCATGGAGCGCAGGGTAAACCTTATTTTTCCATGAATTTATATGGCTGCATATATTTGCTTGGTACTATAATTTCAAGTCAAATTGTTAAACTCTAGATACTTTAAAACATGCTCCATTCCATTTTTTTTTCTACCTAATAGTACATATTGCATGGATCACGATATATTTTAAGAATATTCTCTCTTTTGCATAACTTCAACTATTAAAATGTAGCACTCTAGGGGCTGGTGTAAGGGAAGGTGGTGTTATCCCACGGGGAGCCAGGTAACCACTTTTGCTTTTGTTCTTGTTCCCTTTCCTACTCATTTTCTTCTCTTGGAAGAGCTTCTGAGTGTGTTGAAAGTGAGCTCTGATCTAAGCTCCTTGTTTATTGCTACAGTTTTTGGTGACATTTATGAGTATATCAGTCTGCTTGACTAGAGAGTGGAATCCCACTCCTGAATATAAATTTATGTGTACGGTGACAGTTCTTGTGTCTTTGGGCATAGATGGGCATTTGCAAGCAAACAAACCACCCAAAGACCAAATCCTTTGTGTTCTGATCTGTAACCCAAGTTCAGCAGAGAGCATATATGCACATTCCTGTCCTGCAAAGTATTTAAGCACGTTTCCAGATTTATGCAAGGATTTAAAAACCTGGGTCTGATGAGGTACCTGGGTACTTTTCATTCTGTAAAGAGGGCTCGCTGCCTGGCTCCGTCCCTCCAACCACACAGCACAGCCGCCGGGCAGCACCTCACGGAATTCCCGCCTGGCTCAGCGCCGAGCGCCAGGTGAGGGAGCAGGAGCCGCGGATGCCGCAGGCCCCGCGTGCGGAGCAGCCCGGCCCTGCGGGAGGCCGGGCGCCGGAGCGGGAGCCCCGCGCAGCAGCGCGGCCTTTCCCGGCCCTCGCGCCCCGCGGTGACGCACGGGCTGGACCGCGTGCGAGAGCGGCGCCGAGCGCGGTGCGTCCTGCGCCTCTGCAGCGCCGGCGCTTGGCAGGAGCAGGGAGGGCTAAAGGACGCAGGGGGATTTGATCTCTCATGTACGCCTTAGATTTGCACAAAATACAGGTCTTGAAACAACTTGAACACTTCTGCTCCCAGTAAAATGATACGTTCTGCTTTCATCTCTCAGGAAAATAGAAAGCAGTCCCACGATGCGCTCCACAACGTTTTTCTAATACACAGGTTCTCTTTTGTTTTTATAATCTATAATTACTTTTTGGCTTATTGCTATCCTTGTAACATTCCATTCTAGTTATCTTACATTTAGATTTTTATTTTCTGTGGATCAGAATCACCTTTTTTAAATTGGCAGTTGTACTCAAGATTTCTTTTAACTAAGTTAAGAGCATTTGTCTTTAGCTTTGTTCTGAAAAGGCAAAATTGAGAAGGCAGGCAGGACAGGTGCTGCATTTCACTCTATCTGTAGCTATATTGAGTTTGTTTTTCAAGGCAAGGAGTTCTTTGAATGCATCAAGACATTTCTCTGTCTCTGCCAGCTTTCCTTATCACATTAGTAGCACTTCTGAGTATTTTTTAAGTATCTTGTTCTTCCATTTCCTGTACATTGTGCTAATTTGAAGGCTCTTCTGTTTACCTTTACGATATTTTAACTATTTCAGCACCATGTTTGACTACGAATGTTAGGTAACAAATTAAGAATTTAACAATTTTGTTGCATGCTCTTGGTTTATCAGTGTTACCTAGTACCTTTTTTTTTTGCCCCAAGACCCTGCATGTAGCACCTAAAATACTCTGTGAACAGCAAAGTGCCACTTCAGCCTCTCCTCCGTGGTGGTTTGCACTTGGCGAACGTGCCGCTAAGAGACTGTGTTTCTAGGAATGGTCAAGGGGAAAGTATTTACCAGTCTTTTCCGTAAATAGTCGGACATCTCTGAATTTCTTTCTTGAATCCTACTAAAATTTGCTTCCTAAAGATTGAGCAGAGAAAAGCTGAGGTGGAAACAAAAGAAACGGAACCAGTGGAGTCCATCGGTTGGTCCTTGCGCCCGCAGCTTGGCCTCAGAGGCTGCTGAATTAGACTCAACAGGTGCTCAAACGAGCCAGTGCAGATAATTAACTTAAATGGCTCCATTTTCTTAAAAACTGTCAGGAATGAACTCCCTCTCCTCCTTTAGTGGTGTACAATTATCTGGTGCTCTGCAAGGCCTATGTCTTTTAAAAAGGCTTTGGATTTTGTGGGAGCAATTCACTGCACTCTACGTGTTTAACTACGTAATTGCCCCTACAGAGGACACAGTTAAAACCAGTGTTACCAGTTTTGTCCACAGTTATCATGATTGCAAATGTAAATCTGCATCTGCAAAGTACAAGTTTGATTTTTAAAATCAAATGCTGCCTTTCTAATGGACATGAATGTTTCTTCCGTGAACATTTGGTACATGCATGTGCATTGCTATCTATTTAAACAAAGGCAATATTTTGTATGTAGTAATCCTTGGGTAAAGGAAAACAAAAGCTAGGCTGGAGGTAAGAATTGGGAGCTAGCAAAAAGATGGGGGAAGGAACTTTGAAAAAATGTCCTCTGCCAGTGGCTGCCTCTCCGTGGGATCCCCTGTAAACCTCAGCAAAGGCTCTGTAAGGTCTGTTCTCAGTGATGCAGTTGAGCAGAGTGTACAGTGCAGATAAACCATCGAGTAACTGTGGAGTTAGCAATCCCTCCTGCTGTTAGTGAAATGCTCTGAGCTCTTGGGAAGATTGCTGGCGCTGATGGGAATTGTTATGTATATTGTTAGGGCCACCACATTGGTTTCATGTTTTCAATAATATGCCCTAGATTCAGTAGAGTCAAATATTAATAAAATCTGTTCTTATGTCTAGGGTGACACACATGCTGTCCAGAGACCATGTAATGTCTTGGAGTTGATGAAGGAGTGGAATAATAATCCGGACATCAGTGAAGCGGGCAGCATGGAGGAGGACTCGAGTAACCCAGGCGCTGCCTGCAGGCAGAGCGGAGCCCAGGAAAGCCCGGCCAGGAGCGGTGCCGACGCGGCGCCTGGGGCAGAAGCTGCAGCAGAGGATGGGGCTGCAAAACAGGTGGGGCTACATGCAGGGCTTTAAAAAATACATGGGAAGCCAAGGAAGAAATGTTGGGCAGGACCTGGTGTCTGCTCAAACATTTATATGTAGTGTAAGAATCACGATAAGTACTAGGATAGAGGGTTCAGTCTGGGCGGCACAGGATCATTTAGGTGCAGTGTGCCTCAAGAATCCATCCCGACCCAGAAGACCTGGAGTCCCTAGCATGTTATGGCTCCTGTCCATCCTCTGCAGGTGTAGGTGTGTTTTTGCAGGAAGGTGGCAGGAAAAAAGCAGTATCTTAATACAGCAATATTTAGGGGCAATGAGGAGGACTATTCTATAGACAGCCCATATATATTCCCTCTGAGTAATATAAGTAGCCACCTAGTGATGCTAATGGGTGGGAGCAAGATGGTTCATGGGCAACAAAATGTATGAGCCACTGTTTGTAACAAATTTGGGATGGTGTTCTGATTTCTTTAGGCAATTGTCCAAGATACTGAATTTTATTTCAGTGCCTCTTTCAATGCTTCAGCTGAAGCAAATAGCTGTAGTGAAACTACCCAGGATTCTGTATTAGCTGTGACCTGTGGGGCTCCTCTCAGGTTCTCAGTGACGAGGCAGTAAGCCGTGCCACGGGCTGAAGGCATCACTGGTAGTACTGTGTGGGTTCTGCTTTCACAAGGGGTCTGCTCAGCAAAGAACGAGCTTCTTACACAAGGCAATGTAGGCTCTTAGCCCTTCAGGAGTATAAATCATTATTATACTACTAACATCCCCTGTTCTTATCAAACAAAGATGTGCACTCAAGAATGTCCAGCTGTTTTGCTGGCTTTGTCTGGCTTTCCAAAGTAATATCTCATACAGCAAGATGAGTTACTTGTACATCAGAGAATAAGTCTGGATCCAATTAAGACCACTAATAGGCTCAAATACAGTTTTATCTACAAAACAGGTTCATATACAGGCTAAGTTTTAACTACAAAACAGACCAGAGAAATAGATACCAAGGAACATTGTCATACTTACAAGAGATGAAGATACATTTTAAAACTGTATTTGAATATGGTGATGAATCAGTAACTGTGATCTTGATTCAGAAGCTAGTGAAGATAAAAATCAGAGATGTAGTTGTATGCAGTTGTTAAAACAAGAAGAATCTTCTCGTAAAGATGAGCTGTAACATTTAAAGTTAAGAAGCTTCTCTCTGTGTACCGTGAAGAAAGATTAAAATACCTTGTATAATGTAAGTCTTTTCTTTATGCTCTTGTTTTTGCGTGTTTTTATGATATATTATACAGTAGAGTTTAGCTGCCATAGTTTTTATATTATTGTGCTCTGCTCCACTATTTTGTTTGTATTTGTATTGTCCACACCTTTCCAGTGAGTACAAAAAAATGTAGTCTTTAATTGTGTTGTTTTAAATTATAGTCCCCTGCAGGCAGGTCAGCATCTCCAGTATCAATTTCAAAGCGGAATCTGGAGTGCCAAGAGAAGAGGGGAGAATTGGACACGTCTGCAGGGCCTTCAGCCCAGGCCCTGGGAAATAAAGCTGCACCAAAGGCTGCTGCCGCACTCAGAGGCAAAAAGAAATCCTAGGACAGGCTCCCGCTCTGGGGGACTTCAGAGTGAACAACTATTTCTTGTGCCAAAAGGAGCAGACTTTCTAAGCACGGACAAGTATTTCCTGAACTGTTTGGCTTTTTATTTTCCTGAACCCTTTAATCAGAAAGCTTTAGCTTTCCTTCAACACTGAAGAAAATCTAACAGCAGTGTGAACTCCTAACCTGTAAGAGGACATCCGCTGATGGTATTTTTTCAAAGTACAAATTATAGAATTGTCTAAAAATGTATGTAATTTATTTGTTCTCTTCTAACAGGCACCATGCCAGGTAGGCAGTCTGCTTTCACAAAACCATTTTCCTGTGTTTTACTTGCATTTACTTTCTTTAGTTTTGTCGCAAACATTTAAGGGGAAAAATGAGGATAGAATCTGTAATAGGGATTCCTGATAACTTTGTGCTTTGTACTATGAGAATATTCTAGGAAATTGCTTATAAATTTGCTCTAGGCATTACAGCACAAGTGCTCCAGTCTGGAATTTGTTCTTGCTATTTTCAGTTGCTGTCAATTGCTTATTTTTAAGCAGAACTTATTTTAAACTTGACAAATGGGAGGTGTATTTTTAAGTACAATGGGATTGCTATGGTTCTCGCTACAGAATTTCTGGTGTGTTGATTAGGTTCTTTAAATAAAACAGGTGTTGGAATAATGGCCTTTACAAGTTAGTTGATCTTCATTTTCAAAAGGATGAGCTACAGTTAAGCTTAGGTTTATTATACATATATATGTGTGTATATATATATATATATATATATATATATATATATAAAACAACGTGCTTTACCATTCTAAGGACGGTGCTGTTCTGTGAAGATAGATCTTACTGGTATCCTGGCATTGTGGTGCATTATGAGAGCAAGTGGGACACGCGCTTAGTTGGTTAAGAACCATTTCCTTCAGTATCTGTCTGGTCTGTTACCTGCTGGTCAGGTACTTCTGCTGAGAGCGTGAGTCTGAGCAGACACCAGCAGCCTAGACCTGCGCCTTCCTCCGCAGTAGCCTTAATGTTCCTCTTACACTTGTTCCAGCCTTGATTTTATTTAAGCGTGAACTAATTTTATTTAAAAAAACAATTATTTCTTTGCAGATACCTCCAAACTTGCAGAGACTTTCTTTACAATAAACTAATTAAGAGCTTTTTGTCATGTAATATTAAAAGGGTAAGACATCGCTCTTCCTCACTGAGGAATGGATGTATAATGGGCACCTTTTTGGAATGTCAATTTTCTAGTTTGTGTTTTTCACCTTGCAAAATGTAGCAAGTTGAAGAAGGTCCCTCGTTTCTCTCCTTTTCTGACCGCATGCAGTAGGAATCGTCCCATGAGGAGGAAGTCTCCCCTTTTGTTGTGTGCTGGCCGAGCAGCAAGGGCTGCTGCTCGCTGGCAGCCCAGGGCGTCCCGCAGGGCTGCGCGCGGCGCTTGGCCGGCACCAGGACGTGTTGGGGAGCCCCGCGGCCGCGCCGGGAGGCCCCACCACCGCTGCGCTTCTGGACCGGGGGAGCTTGAGGCGCCCTGCCTCACAGCAAGGGTTAGGGCGTTTTTACCGCACTATGGGACACAGCCAGCGTAGCTTGCTGCAGAAAGCGAGCTGCTTGCCGGCGTGCTCTTCTGTCCTGAGCAATTCTCTCCTCCTCAGTAGAGCTTCAGGTGCTTTAGCTGGAACACGCCTTTCGTGGCCAGCTCCTCTGTGATCTCCCCTGTTCCGCTTTCCCTCTCCTTCCCTCCTTGCCCAGCAGTTCTGGATCCGACTCGTCCATGCCCATGTCGGCCTCGGCACCAGCTCTGCCCGTCCCAGAGCGAGGAGACTGGGAGCACTGTGCCACAGATCCCAGTGCAACGGCTCTCCCAAAGCTTGGGGAAGCTGCTGCTGTTATATCAGTGCCTGCTGGCAGCAAACCTCTAGTTAAATAGCACAGTTCTTATATTACGCTCCATGCATTTTTCCATTTTCTTCCTTATCCTCTTCTTTATGCCTTTTTTCCCCACTCCTTTTCAGTGTCTACATATTCACTGTTGATTTTTTTTTTCATTTGTCAAAAGATTTTTGTTCTTCAGCAAATCTCTTTCTTGTTTCTCCTTTTGATGCAGCTTTTCTCTGTGTTTCCCTTTCAGCCCCAGAGCTGACTTTAGTCTCTTCACTGTATTTGCTACTTGGAGGAGCCCTAATTAAAAATTAGAAGTAGGTTGCATGGAAATTGCTTATTCCTCCTTGTCCACTAGGACCCCATTTCTCTTCTCTCCCAAGTTCTGTGAAGTTGACCCATCCTCAGATGCTCCCTTCCTGACTTCCACTTTATATTACTCACCTTTCTCTCTTGCTCTTTCCACTTAATCTTCCCCTTCCCTTACTGTTGCTTGATATTTAACTTCCAAGGCAAAATGAGAGTCCGCGGTCGCATCCAGGCTACCCTGCTGTGCATAAACCCTGTAATTCAGCTGTACTGACAAACACCGACTTTCTGACTGCTTCTGTATTGGCTTTTTCTCTTTTTTTTTCTATGAGGCGCTCCGTAGCAGTAGCTAGGTTGGTGATACCGACTGTAACATCCCTAGTACAGCCACAATCGTGTATAACCCATTACAGATCAGGTCTATACGACATTGTAATTTAAATGATGGTGGTTGCTGGCAGCCCATTTTTGCTTGTCCTCCTATTATTGCAACCACCAGTAGAGCTGTTCTACGGGGAAATTTCAAGTGTAGACAAAGCTTTAATCAACAGTAATCTGATCCTTTAAAAATGCAACACCAATTCATTTATTGCTCATTTCACATATGAAATTTTAATAGGTACAATCACCCTTAAGGATGTTTCAAATATTAACATTATGCACAATTACAAAACAGAACCTTTTTTCCATATGAAACCATCAGCATCTTTGAACCAAGTAAGTAGTTTTCTGTGCTGACATCAGGTTTACTATCAATCAGAAACTTATTAACAGCTGTGTTAGCCCTAATTAAGTGCAGCGCAATGGCAGACTTTTTAATTAAGTCTTACTTTCCTCCTAAGAGGAGCCTGACTGGTGTTTTTTTCCCCCTTCTCTTCCTTCCCTCCATCCTTATTTACTGTGTAAAGCGCACATGAAAAATAAGTGGGGGATGAGATGGGGCTAGTGACGTGGGACCAGAGACACCAGAAAAGGCTGCCTTTCCGGAATGGTGCCATGATTATGCTTGGCATATTTTTATCTATTTGGCTTTTAAAATAATTGCAAGAATTTTCAGTGTTTCTGCAGTGGTTTTCATTTATATTTTTAATAGTTTTTATATATTATTTATTTATAATTAATTTATATATTTTTTATATAGTGACAGACTCTATTTCCTTATGTTCATCAGCGTTAATGAAGAACTGCTCCCTGTGCATTGTCTGGATGTTGAACCTTAATCCATATTTGTGTCTAACTTCACTTTTGTTTCCAGGAAAAAAAAACCAAAAACAACTGAAATAATGCCCAAGTATTTTTAAAAAGAGAATTTTTTTGGTAATGTTTATGGATCATTTTCACGCTTTCTTTATTGTGACTACAGTGGCCTTGTGTGCTTCAGGAGTGTCCAAATTTGATTGCTTTCGTGAAAAGCAGAACAGGCTCATGAATTTCTTTTGCTTCTGTTTCTCATCTACTTACATGAGGCTTGGTTTCGCAGTGGAAGAGGTGTCTGTTCTCTGAAGATGAACTGAAGAAAGGCCCCTTCAGTTCTTTTGGCGGCCAGAGCAGTGACGGGCCAGGCTGGGGCTGCTGGTTTCCCAGCACGGTGAGGCCGGTGCCGGAGGACGGGCCCGTGGGAGCAGCCCTGCCTGGTGCCGCAGGGCCGGGCCACGACAGGGGCTCCTTGTGAGCAGGATTGCTCCTGGCAGGAGAGAAACTGGGAGGAGGAGAAAGCCCCGCTGACTGACCCGAGCTGCTGGCTCTTGTTCACGGTGCTGCCACGTTCGTGTAAGTGCAGCAGAAGGGCTCCTTTACCAAGAAGGTAAGAGGGATTGTGCGGGAAGCTGCCACGTGTAGCAGAGCACTTGCCTAGCAGGTGCTCCCAGCTCCGCGCGGCCTGGCGGAGCGATTCCCACGGAGCAGCCACCTCGTGTGCTCGTCCGCTTGCTCCCAGGGAGGCTTTGGAAGGGACGAACTGTGTAAAAATAAACAACATGGTAAGCTTCTCCCTAAGCTTCTGCTTCTTTTCCAGCTAAAATACCTGCTTCCAAAGATGGAAGCGCGTTGTGGTAATGCCTAGATTACTAGGACCTAACAGCAGGCAGCACAGCTGAGTTTTCTGTATTCAGTGTTGGGTTGGCCCTGTCAGAATTACTTTGCTTTTCTGACCCAAATGAACATATTTCAGCAGCACCATAGGCTGTGCAGAACCTTACTGCTTTCTGGTAAGAACTGAATGTAATGATAGCAGTGAGGTTTAATGGGTGTTAAAAGTGAATTTAGCTTTCCTGCCGATGCTGTATAATAGTGCAACATAGTTTATCTTGCCTATAAATACTGTGCAAACATTATGGTTAAGTATCTGTTAATAAAAGGCAGTGATGTAAAAAAATTACGCCTTTCCCTTTCTGTAAGACTTAGTTTGCTAATTACCTATGAAGATCCATGGACATACATGACTATCTGTTAACAAACGCAGTATGGAGTTATTGCAACTGGGCATTAACTAGGAAACCCTTGGAAAAGGCTGGGGCATCAGTACGTGCTATCCAAGGAAAGGAGACAGGGAGGTGGAAGAGCAGGAGGGAGAAACAGCAGTGGGGAAACGGCTGTTACAGGTAGCCAGTAGGGAAGGAAGATTCGCGTATCTGGCATGAAGAAGGAACATCCCTGAAGGAGACAAAGGGGCCCTCGTCTCCCCTCTCTGCCGTTATTTATTTAGTGAGCTTAGTGCTGGCAGAAGCACCTGGTTGACAGCTCCTGCTTTGCTCGCAGCAGAGCGCACAGCACGCAGGGGTGCAGCGCGAAGCCCCTCGTGCTGCTGCCGGCCGAGACACGGGGCAGGGGGCTCAGCGCTGCGCGCGGGTGCCCGTCCCGGGCCGCTTTGCCGGAGCTGCCCCTGCCCCAGGCGTCACCCCCAGCCTGTGGTGGACGTTGCCACCCCTGAGGCAACGATCCGCTCATGAATCAATTATTGAACTGTCGCATTTTTCAGCCTGGCCTATTAAATTAAACTGACATGAGTCTCATTTCACGAAGACATTAGATAGTGATGAATTTCAGGTACTGTTAACCTGGTTTTGAGTTGGCCAACTAGAGACAGGTGGGTTCATTCTTCATTCCAGCTGCCAGAACCGCTGTTGTATCCTGTCTTGCCATCGTTGTAGTAGCTTGTTGGTCGGTTGGTGGCTTCCCTTGCTAATTCATGAGAGCGGGCAATTTCAAGAGGAGAAAAGGAAACCAGTGAGAAAAAAAAAACAGGAGAAAAAAATACAGAAACCAGGAGAAAAAAACAGCGCCCGGCGCTGGTTTGTGGTGCGGGACGCAGGGCCGGGGCCACGCGAAGCCGGCTGCTCCTCACGGCGTGTCCCGCTGCTCCTCCCGGGGCAAGAGCAGGTCAGTGTGGAAACCTGGCTGCACCAGCAGCAGGAATCTCAACTGGCCGCTCAGTAG